TTTTAATTAATCTTTATTGTTGAAAATATTACAGATGTCCCCGTTTTGTTCCGCATTAACCTCATCCACCCCGTACCACTGCTCCCCTCTCCCCTGGCCTTCACCACACTGTTGTCTGTGACCAAGGATTAGGCATATATGCATATAAGTACTTTGGTGATATGTATTTTTAAAGCTACAAAAGGCTAGTGGTAATACGATAGATATGAGAAAATACAGACTGTAGTGTTTTAATATAAATTAACATACAACTATGATTTCAGTTTCATTTAAAACATTTAGGCGACTCTGCTAGCGATTCTCAACCTGTTGCGACCCACAGGTTGAGTGAGAACCCCTACCGTAGAGCCTACAACCATTGGAAAATACAGATATTTAAATTATGACTCATTAACAGTAGCTAAATTACAGTTATGAAGTAGCAACAAAAATAATTTTATGGCTGGGAGTCACCACAACATGAGGAACTGTATTAAAGGGTTGTGGCGTGAGAAAGGTTGAGAACCACTGATTTAGAATATTCAAGTCTAGAATTAAAGTAGAATGTTGTTGTGGTTATTGTATATCTTCCTCTTCTATTAGTTTATAAGTGCCTAGAAGACCTATCCTGTGTATTTTTTTCCCCCTATTTCCTAGCACTACCAAATATGCATAGAATACACTCAAAAAATGCCTGTTAAATTGAATTAATTTCTAGGAGCTGCTCTTTTTAAAAAATTTTAATATACTGCATATCTAGACTGCTGGGGGTTTTTCCTAATTTAAAATTTAATTGTAGAGAAATTGACAAACGTAACATTTTAAATCTATATTATTTTGCTCTTTCTCAGGAGCACTTTGGAAATTGTAGGCTTATTCTATGGGTACTACTTTCACACAACATATTTATAGAATTTGCCTTTTTTTCCTGATACACTGTTTTAAATACATACACTTGTTTTATCTGAATTCAGAAACTTGCTAAATGTAATCTCAAACTACGTTTAGTGGGTCAAAAGTTATGAAGGCCTTTTGAGGTCAAAAACAACAATGGATCTTGTGAGATTCAAAAGCTCATGCTAATGGCAATTACAAAAGAGAAATTCCAAATATATAGTGAAGTATTTTAGCATTTCTGGGCTTGCTTTATGGCCTCCCGGGATAACCATTTTGAAGGGCAAACATCATGTACAGTACATTCATTGAAATACCAAACTCCTCATAGTTGCAGTTTGTAACCCTGGTTTATTAAAAAGAGTTGGTTTAATTGGACTGGAACTTAAGCATTTTAAGATGTTTCCTGACAAATATGCAGTCTAATACTATCCTGAATTGATATTAAACTTTTACTAGTGACCTCTATATGATAACTTCTTTTTTATTAGAAAATATAATTATTATTTCCTCATTCTTTCTTTAAAAGATGTAATTAGAGCTCAGTTTTTTTTTCTTTTTTATTGGATATTTTTCAGCCTGAAAAAATGTATGCATTCATGCTCATGATTCTTTCATTATTATATTCATTGTTGTTATCAGATAAGACCAAAAATCACCCTCATTACCTGATTATCTGATCTTTTACCTAAAGGAGCCTAATCTAAGGACATGCCTAAACCCAAGGACATGCCTGAGGGAGCAAATACTACAAAGCAGCATTTCAACTGCACTTAAGCAGTTTCTGAGAAATGAAACTGGAGAAGAGCTGAAGTTTACTTTTGCTTTAGCTAAAGAAAAGGATTGCCAGTTAAATTAATGCTATGGAGATGGAGAGAGAGATCTATTTAAGGAAACAAATGCCTTGCCCTGGCTGGGTGGCTCAGTTGGTTGGAGCATCGTCCTGTACACCTAGCAAGTCAGACTCACAGTCCGTGGGCCATATGCGGCCCACAATGAATATTTTTGCGGTAATAATATACGTGTGTGAGAAACATTTTAATAAACATTTCATAACTTAATTTTTACAATATCCCTGTTATACATAATTATTAATAAGGAACTACAGAGTTTGCTAATGAGTGATTACTATAATCATGTTATATTCATTTCCCTTGCACCTTACGTGCAGGTGCACCTTTTCTCTCCACTAATACTAGCAGTGAATATTTTAGCAGCCGATTGTCACGTCAGTAGTCTTGTACTGACTTGTTTGGTATGTGCAACAGGAAATATTTCTCTTTCAGAGAACAAGAAAAATAGGCTTATTAATTTGTGCAGTTGTTCAGTGTCTGATAAGTTAATATTCAAGAGAAAATAATAATTTTTATTAAAATGTTCTATTATTTTATGTTAACGATTACTCATTTATTTCAGCCCTTTGTATTCAGCATGTGTCTATCAAAATAAACCTATGTTTCTATGAAAATTGAAGCTTTTGGTTTTTTGCGGCCCACATAAACTTAAACCTTGTTTATTTGGCCCATGTTAGCCTGTAAGTTTGACAAGCCTACTGTACACCAAAAGGTTGTGGTTTCATTCCAAGTCAGGGCATGTAATGGAGGCAACCAGTAGATCTCTTTCTCCCCCCATCCCCTCCTGTCTCCCTCTCTCCCACTCCCTTCCTCTCTCTCTAAAAATCAGTAAAAAAGCATATCATCAGGCGCGGATTGAAAAAAAGGAAAATGCCTTTTTATTTATTTATTTATTTATTTATTTATTTATTTTATTTTTTAAGAGAGGAAGAGAGAGGGATAGAGAGTTAGAAACATCGATGAGAGAGAATCATCGATCAGCTGTCTCTTGCTGGAGATGTGCCGCAATCAAGGTACATGCTTTTGACCGGAATCGAACCCAGGACTTTCCAGTCCGCAGGCCGACGCTCTATCCACTGAGCCAAACCAGTTTCAGCAGGAAAATGCCTTTTTAAAGCCATTGAGTATTTTTGGAAGGAATATTCATATACTTCCAATTTTTATTCTAACTTAAATGTATTTTATTTTAGAAGTTTATAAAACCAGCTTTTATAGGTACTAGGTACCATTTTTCAATTTCTCTTTAATTGGTGTTTTATTTATAGATAATAAAACAATTGAACTCTAGATTTTACTAATTAAGTCTGATATAATAAAATTCACTTGTAAGTAATTAGTACAGAGTACCTATTTTCAAAAGGATTCAAGCAGGTTTATGAAGCACAGATTTCAAAGGGTAAAATAGAGATTTGGGGGTACTAGCCTAACCTTGTAAGTTTGATGGATAAGAAAGCCATCTGAGCTAGTTACATGCATGACCTTAAACAAATAACCATTGTACATTCTTATATTTTTATACATAACTAGTGGCCCAGTGCACAAATTCATGCACCAGTGGGTCCCTTGGCCTGTCTGTGGGATTGGGCCAAATCTGGCTCTTGGACACCCCCCAAGGGGTCCTGCAAGACGGTGCAGGCCAGGCCAAGTGGTCCCACCGGTGCACAGTCGGCGCCATGAGGGACGCGGGAGGTTGGCGTGCCGGGGCAGGTCTGCAGGAGGCTTCAGGGTATGTCCGGCCTGTCTTTACTCAGTACCAATCAGCCAGACCCCAGCAGCAAGCTAATCTGGTCAGAGTGTCTGCCCCCGGTGGTCAGTGCACATCATAGCAAGCAGTTAAACGGCCTTAGCATATCATTAGCATATTATGCTTTGATTGGTTGAAGGATTGACCAGACATTTGGCATATTAGGCTTTTATTATATAGGATAGATACTCACAAGTAACATCAATCATGTCCAGACTTTCAGGAGGGTACTTTGATATTTTCTGAAAATAAGTATTTACTGTCTCAAGGCATAGTTTGCTTTCTGAAGAACTTTGACTTATGTTATTAAATATGATAATAACAATTAGCATGTGAATTCTGCATTATGTTTACCAAATATTTTTATATCTGTTATCTCAGTTGATCCACCCTAAAAACTGTAGATATCTATAATAAGAGCATAATATGCTAATTAGACCAGACAGCCAAACAACCTTCTGGACGTCATTTCAGATGTCCTTCTGCATGAAGCTGTGGCTGCAGGGGCCAAGGCAGAGAAAATTAGGGGTGATCAGGCAGGCAGGCAAGCAGTTAGGGGTGATCAGGCAGGCAGGTGAGTGGTTAGGGGCGATCAAGAAGGAAGGCGAGCAGTTAGGGGCATCAGGCAGGCAGAGTGGTTGGGGTGATTAGGCAGGCAGGCAGAAGGGTCCTGGGTTGCAAGAGGGTGCTGGCTGGGTCGAGGGACCCCTTCCCATGTATGAATTTCATGCACCAGGCCTCTAGTCCTATATAATAAAAGCCTAATATGCTAAATGTCCAACCGTTTGACCATTTGACCAGTCACTGTGATGCGCACTGACCACCAGGGGACAGATATTCCCATCGGTATGTTAGCTTGCTTCTGGATCCAGCTTATCAGGACTGGGAGAGACAGACCAGCAACACCCTGGAGCCTTCCCACAGTCCCTCCCCAGCTCCAGGCGTGCACCAGCGGGGTCCCTTAGCCTGGCCTGTGCCCTCTTGCAATTAAGGACCCCTTATGGGATTCCAGAGAACCCATTTCAGCCCTATCCCCATAGGCCAGGCTGAGGGATTCTGGTCCATGGCCTCTAGTATTACTTATGTTGTAGATAGGCATTAAGACTTACTTTGTTACAGGGAAGAGCATTCTTCTGCACTCCCCTCCCTTTTTCTCTTCTTCTCCTACCACACACACACACACACACACACACTCCAGAGGCTTGGGCTAAAATGGGACATTTGGGTTCATAGAATGGGATGGTTTTTAAATAAGCCAATTCCAGGCTTCCAACTCTTTCCCTCTGGATCAGCTCCATAGTCTATTTCACTCTTTGGTGATCCTGATGCTTTTGGGTATCACTGTTACTGATTTGGTTAATGTTTATATTTGGACACAACACTGTGGACAGATAAATAACTAGATACTTTGACTGCTTTGACACTTAGACTCACTTCTAGAGCTGACGAATAGGTGAGTTGTCAAAAGGAAAGTCAATATGCAGTTACCAAAAGTAGCAGTAAAGCATGGTGGGTGGCAAACATCAAATGTCCACTCTAGCAGATATTATCATCTCCATCTTTCAGATGAGAAAATGGATATTCAGAGGGGCTAAATGACCTACCCAAAGTAGGTCTTCCAGTTACAGATACAGCTCTATGCTGCCCTAAAGGAAAAGGGAAACAGCAATGGGTAAGAAAAGAGAGATGGTTCTAGGTATGACATTTATTTCTATTCTATTTTTTGAAGTGAACCAGGCATAATTGGTTTTAGGGTGATAATTGAATCTGAATCTGTGGGGAGGGTAAACAAGAAATTTGTGGGAAATAAAATGTACCAAATCTGTGTAAAATAAAATGTCCCAATGTCTCAAATGTTAGCAATTAAAATAGCTAACATTTATTAGCCATTCCTTATATCAGTCACTGTGCTAAGCATTGTTCCTATATCAATTAATACAACATTCCTATGAATTAAGGGTTTTTACAGGTAAAAAAAAACTTAAACAAAAATAATGGTTTAATCTCTTATTCATGTGGTTTAATATCTGTTTCATGTGGGACAGAGGTTACAGCTGAATCAGAAACAAGTACAAAGGAAACCAAGCAAATGAAAAGATGATGTAACTGAAAAGAGATAGAGCTAAGATTTAAACCCATTGCAGTGCCTGTTTTTTATTTTCATTGTCACCAATTAGCAGCAATATTTAGGGACCTGCCATATGCAGATACTTGGTGCAACAGCTGTTTCCTAGAAATTTACCCTATACAGTTGTATAATTCAATTCATACAACCACATTTAAGAATTTATAAATACCTACTATGTTTCCACAGATCATGTTTAATGATAACTTTTATGCTGTTTTTGTTTTGTTTTATATTTATCAGAGTTACACATGCACATAGTTTAAAAAATCAAGTAGTCCTACAAAACTTATTAAAAACCCACACACAACAGAAATAGATCCTTGCTGTGTACTTCCTTTTATTATTTTTCCAATTTCCAGAAGCAATCACTTTCTTTCTTTTACTTTTTTTTCTGGTATTTATGAAAAATAATATCTCTAAATTAACATGGTTATATTTTTACTAGATTTTTTCAACTTCAGATAATCCATTACTGTGCCACTATGGGAGATGTAGATTGAGATCTTTTATGTCCCCTACACCTTCACAGCAAATATGCCATCTTCTCAGTCTGATGACTTTTAATAACCATATCATGTGTCTAATTCTCTGCTTTCCCTAACAATAATAACTGTCATATTTTTCATTTGCTTGATTTTCTGTGTACTTGTTTCTGATTCAGCTGTAACTTCTGTCCCACATGAAACAGATTTCTTTTTACTATCACCTTTGGGTTTCTTTTGGTCCCTGTTTTGAATTGGATCTTCTGTTTTTAATGTCTTTCCTTCTTCATTTATTCTCTCATTTTGATGGAGCATTTCTAACAATTTGCTCTTCGCTCTCTGAAATGCCTTTATGCTTTTCAGACATTTGATTGATTTTGTGGCTGAGAACAGACTTTGTGGTTTGGAATTTAGTTTCTCTCAAAATTTTTATATTCTCTCCCCATTGTCTTTTAGTACTTAAAAGTTGAAAGACAATCTAATTTTTGTCCTACTTTTTTTTCTCTGGAACTTTCACTATTTTCTATTTTTCCAAGAGTTCTTAAATTTTATTATGATGTATCTTGTTGGGGTTTTATTTTCATTCATTTGACCAGACACTCAGTGTTGTTTAATTCAGGAAAATTTTCATGAATTGCTTCTTTGATTACTTCTTTCTCTCCATTTTCTCTTTTTCTGTTATCTGGATGTTGAACCTCTAGATTGGTCTAATTTTCTTATCCTTTCTCTCCTATGTTCCTTTTCTTAGTCTCTTCTTTCTAGGATATCATCCAACCTTTAGGCTTCTATTCCTAATATAATTTTGTTTTTCAGAAACATTTTCTTTGTTTGTTTGTTTCTTTCTTTTTTATTTATTATAAAATATCAATTTGTTCTTGTTTCATAGATGTAGTCCTCTCATATCTTTGAGGAATAATTTTTCTGGAAACTTTATTTCCCTGAATAGTTCTATTTCCTGTTTGTTTGTTTGTTTGTTTGTTTGCTTTTGTTGTTTTTGTTGTTTTGTGGGTTTTTTGTTTTGTTTTATTTTGTTTTTTGCTTTAAGGCTTCATCTTTTATGTTAGGAGCTTTTCTCAAATGTCTAGTGGTCTTTGACTGTCAGCTCACATGTAAGGTAGTAACAAAGGTAAATGCGTAGATAACACATAATTGGGGCTTAATAACTGTGAATTCCCTAAACCCGACTATGCTACTTATTCAGAACCCCAATATTATTGTAGTGAATACCTCCCTTTTCAGTTCAGTTAGAGTCACCAAAGAAGTTTTTACTCTCCTGCCTGGAGGTTAGAAGATGGGCTAGTAGCGTTCTGCAAACCAAGCAGAAGAGAAGTGGGAGTCTCGATATTCAGCATGTAAAATGTCACTCCACTCTGTTTTCAGTTGAGCACTCTGCCCTCCAGAACTAAAAATTTCCCAGTTCAGGAACAAACTAGGATGAGAGAGGGAGAAGTTCTTGTCCACTTGTGAAGGGTAGAGAGGGAATGTAGAAGACACATTCTTAAACAGATCTCCAAACGGGTTTGCTCTGATTCCCACCTTTAACTAACTTACATAAACCTGGGTCCCCCAATTCCTAAGTTTTTTTTGGAAACTAGTACCAATTAAATTGCTTCTTGGCTTTGCCTACTGCTGCTTTAGGATTTAACTTAGGATTCAACTATGGTCAGTTAGCTATAGTTTTCTGCCTTGTACCTCCCGAATTTTGGTTACTGTCATTCATCTCTATTCTGCTTTTCTTTCTTGGCTTATTCTTTTTAATAAAATATCTAATATTCTATTGTATTTTAGTGTGGTTTTGAAAGGGAATGAAGTTAAATGTGTATGTTCAAAATGCCACCTTTACACAGAAGTCAAAGGTGTTGATTTTATTGTCTACTTCTTTTTTATTTTATTTTTATTGAATTTATAGTTCCATTTATTAAACATTTGTTAAATTTGAGATAAAGATTTTTCTTAAAAATTAATTTTTATCTGGAGAAAATGGGAAATTGCCAAATTTAATTCTGTACTCTGTCTCAGAGTAAGATTTAAGGAGATTGCTGTTCACATATTATATATTTTGCATTTAAATGGTTTTTATTACTATACAGACCTGCTTCCTTCGCCACATATGGTGATATGTATTACTGGGTTGCCCTGAAAACAGTAACTGAGAATCATGTATTACAAAGCTCACGCTCTTATAATTATGACATATAATAAGTTTTTCAAAATTTTCCAAATCAAACACTGGACAACTTAATTTAAACTTTAAGGAAAGTAAGTAGATCCATGAACATTGGGCCAATGTACCTTGTACATTTCATTATCTTACTTAATGCACGTTTGAGATAATTTTTTATTATCGTACTATGTTTTATAAATAAAGATCATAGAGAGACTCAGAGGAGTCAAGGTACTTCCCCAAACTCATAGAGCTAGTGGGTGACAAAGGTAGAATTTGAACCCAGAATTCACTTACTTCAACACTAATACTCTTTGGAGTGAGTGTGTATAATAAAATCTGGATTTATGTGACTGCAATAAAGATCCCCAGAGCTTGGTGAAAAGTCAAAGAAAGATCACTATCAGCAATGGTAATCAAAAAATTACATCATTTATTGTTAGCACCTTTTTACACAACCATTTGATTGTATCCAAACAGCCCTATGAGCTGGCAATATAAATTTTAAGTTTTATAGTTGTTTATTTCAAATATGTAAAACTTTGTTTGCCTATAGCTAAAATTTACTTATCTCACAAACACCTTTTCCTGGTCATCATTGCCTGTCTCCTCCCACTTCCCCTCTTCCACATCCCCATCACCACCCCCCGCCCCTGCAACACATACCCTGTCACCACCATTTCCACAGATAAAGTAAAACTTAATCTTACCAATTGGTAGTTGCTTGGTCATTTCTGAAATAAAACTGAATCAATTTAGGTTTTAAACTAAGTTTCTTCCCTATCTCTTCCTCTCTCCTTTCCTTCCACTCCTCTTCACTTTCCTGGGAGACTCATAGCATTCTGGCATCAGTAGGTAAGTATGGGATTCCACACTCTTCCCTCTGCTTGCTGGTCTCTGCTGAGTTACTGGTTGGCCCTTGCATATTGGCACCATATGCCAGCACCTACTGAGATGTGGTTCCTCTTGCTGGGCCTCATACTGAACATACTGCCATGGTCTTTGCCATGGTCTCCAGTTGTAAGGACCTTGCACTCTTTTGCCATGTTTTCTTAAACCTCAGTCTCCTTTTTGTCTGCCTGATCAGTCTTCAGACTTTTGCAATCCACTCAGAGGAGAGGCTTCAGGAACTTTTCAGGTGCTCTGCCACAACACACACACACACACACACACACACACACACACACAGGTGTCATAAAATCCAGAGGTGTCTTCAGACAACCCTCCCAGGTACCTTCCTAAGACATTACCTTTGGCGCTCTATACTCAGACACCTAGATGCTCTTTACTTCTAATGGACAGAATCTTATTTCCTCTGCGTGGGAAAACATCTATTTTATCCTCTTACATTCCTGCCTATTTATAGTTTTTATGCCTAAACTTTATAAGAAGAATATATAAGGCAGCTCTATATATCCTGAAATGATCAATTGACAAACCATCATGAGAAGAGAGCCAAGTAAAAACAATGTGCATAACTTGCTCCATGTCTGTAAAAACTTGTTCAGATATGGCAATGCATTACACATTTCTGGAAGAAGACAGGAATCTGGATCGGCTTGCCTTTGGGGAGGGAAAGCAGATGTCTGGGGAACAAGACTGGAAAGGAAATTTTTCACTGCCATTTTATATCTTTCAAATTCTATACTATGCAAATAATTTATTCAAAAAAAATAAATAAAAAATCATCGTAAAACATTTTTAATTTGGCTTCTTTAATCTTGCCAGGCTCCAAATCATCTGATTCTCAGCCACAGACAGAAAGAAGCTCTTTTGGCAAAGCCGTCTTTTTCCCTCCTCTGCTTCCGGATGTGCCGCTCTGTCTTGTGGAAGGAAGGCTGCATGAGGCAGCAGCCTACTGCAGCCTTCTGACTGTTTGCCTTACAGTAGAAGATGGCCTGAGTCCCAAATGCAACAGATGACAGTTCAGCTATTTTGCTAACTTGCCAGACTGAGATAGAGGGTCCTCTTCCCTTCCCTGAACCCCTCTGGCCAACCCAAGTCTATTATTTTAGGGTCTGTCCCTTGCAAGAATCTTTGTTATCTGCAGGCTTACCACACTGAATAGGTATTTAATAAATTATGGAGATTATAAATGCATGAATGAATTTTATAAGAATAAGCCACCTAGGTTCGTTCTAAATATATTAACTGATATTAAAGATTGTATTTTAAATTTTCTGAATGTCCATTTTTTATAGCTTTCTTTTTTCACAGATCCAGAAACCAATTAAGGATCAATTATTGTATTCAGTTGTCCTATCCATTTAATTTCCTTTTATCTAAAAAAATTCTCCAGCCTTTTTGTGTCATGACATTTACTTTTTTTTTTTTTTTTTTTTTAAGTCTGGGCCAATTATTTGTAAGATATTCCTTAATTTAGATTTTTCTGAATTTTTAAATTGTTAGATTTAGATGTAATATTCTTGGCAAGAATACTCCACTGGTGGTGATGTGCCTCCTCCTGATAATATAAAGAAGAAATTGGTAACACAGTAGATGAGTATTCTACTATGACTTGATGGAGAGTCCAAAATGAGTTTTCAATTCTCATTGCTTTCATTTTCTACTGATAGGTCATTGTAAAGTGGTTTGTTAGTTAAATAGACCAGATATCAGTAAATAGTATTTTAATCAATCCATTGGATATCACTTGGAACAGCAAAAGTGTTCTATTAAATTGGTCAGTTTCTTGTGAGTTTGTAACAGTTTGTGGAACTGATAGAAGTTTCTGATTTGCAAAGTAAGGGCCAAGTGATAATAATATCCACCTCACAGCACTGAGATGAGAATTGCTTGAGATATGAACAGAAGTGAAATATCACTTACAGTAATATACTTTGTGAAGGGTCTCTATTAATGTAACAAACCCTACCCAGGTATTTATTTTTTAAACCACATATATATCATATACTATTATATATGAAATGTTCTAAATATTTTATGAATATTAATCTTTGTAGCAATGATTGGATATTAATATCATCCCCATTTGTAGATGAGGAAACTGAAGTACAGAGAAGATAAATAATTTTTTCAAGGCTACATAACAACTGTTTACCTGTGAGACCCCATTTAAAAGCAGCAGCCTGGCCGAAACCGGTTTGGCTCAGTGGACTGAAGGGTCCCAGGTTCGATTCAGGTCAAGGGAGTGTCCCTTGGTTGCGAGCACATCCCCAGCAAGGGGTGTGCAGGAGGCAGCTGATGGATGTTTCTCTCTCAACGATGTTTCTAACTCTCTGTCCCTCTCCCTTCCTCTCTGTAAAAAATCAATAAAATATATTTTAAAATAAAATAAAACAAAAGCAGGCAGCCTGTATAGCTTAAATATGGTTTTCATTCCACCACTCCTTTAAATTAATGTGTGTATCTGTGTTACTTCTGTTTCAGAGAGAAGAGGTACTCCCATACAGGGATTCATAAAGGCATAGAGCACCTAGAGATTTGCTGCCTCCATTACGCTGCTGGGTCTCACAGCACTTGTTATGATTTTAAGTTTCTCTCCAGAAGGTAGGAACTGTGTGTTTTTTCTCTCCATTAATTATTTATATAATTACAGTTTTCTTGTCTGTGAACTTAATTTTTATTAAATATTAAAAGCATCTTCTGACATCCATAGATTAAATTTCCAAAGAGTTAAGACACATAATCACATTGTCTCTAAAAAAACATTTTTTATTCTAAAATTAATACATGTTCATTGTAAAATATATATATATATAATAGTACAGAAATGTATAATAATCCTACCACCTTGAGATAACTATTCTTTATATTTTGTTGTAATTCTTTCCAAATTTGATGCATATATGATACGTAACCTACCTATATAATTATTATGATTATAACTGGCAACAATCTATATATATAAAAGCTTAAGCGACCGAACGAGCAGTCAACCAGTCACAATGATACACACTGATCACCAAGGGGCAGATGCTCAATGCAGGAGCTGCCCTCTGGAGATCAGTAAGTTCCCACAGCAAAACTCCCAAGGCTGACCAACCTCCTGCGGTCCCTACCCACACCCCACACCCCCACAACCAGCCAGCCCAATGAGGACTGGGCGAGACAGCCCCAATCGGCCCCGATCAGGAACCCCACCCATGTACGAACTCATGCGCCGGGCCTCTAGTAGGGTATAAATTAAACACTCCGGCTACAGTGTTTCTTTCACTTAGCAAGTTGTGGAATTTTTCATGCCAGTAAATATCATCTACATTAGCATTGTCAAAGGGCATACAATATTCTAGTTTAAGGGTATAACATAAATTGTATAACCATTTTCCAATTCTTAAGTATTTGAGATGTTTCCAGTATCTCCCTGCAGTTAACATGACTTCAGTGAATGTACTTGTGCATCCACCTTTGTATTCATGTCTAATGATATTTAGGACAATTTCTAAAAGTAAATATTGTAGAACTTTAGTTCCTAAGCATGCTCTCTGATGGTTCCAGGACCTATAATGTAAGAAAACACTGACAGTTATCTACCATCTTGAAGAATTACAATATTTAGTGGTATGTTAAGGTCTTAGAAATCAAACTTATTTGGTTATAGAATCCTTTCTTAAAATAAAATCTGTCTATGGGCTGTTGAGAGTTGGAGAAGTTGTGCATGTGTGGGGAAGGGGGCATATGGGAAATATTTCTAGTTTCCACTCAATTTTGCTGAGTCCAAAACTTCTCTAAAAAATAAAGTCTATTTTACAAAAAGCAAAGATAATATTTTAAAGGGGAAAATATTTAAGTACCATTGTATATATTTACATTTCAAATTAAATTTAGACTTGCGCACATACACATAAAATACAATACATCTGACAACGTCCCACTTAACACTGGAAAATACTAGCTTATGGTATATTCTTTGAAAGGGAATTGGTGGATCAAAAAGTAAATATGCTGAAAGTCTATCAATTTGCATTTTGTCATCAGTATAGGGGAATTCCACTTTTATTGTAGTTTTATCATTTGATAGTAACTGTTTTTGTTTTACATAAATCTGATATGAGAAAAGTATGTAGTATTTTAATTTTAATTTACTTGATTGCTAGTGAGATAAATGTCTTCTTATACTTTTATTTGACCATTATTTTTCTTTTATGGCCATCTCATTTATACCCCATTCCAAATTTTTCTTAGGCTTTTTAATGGATTTTTTTAATTGCAAAGAATCAAGAATCATATTAAGAATATTAACACTGTAAATCACATGTTACAATTATGTTTTCCCTCATTTTCATCTTTTTATGTTTTGTTTTTATTTTATGTATTTTAATTTTGCCATGTAAGTTTGGCATCTTATGAGGTTAAATCAATCTGTCATCTTCATGGATTCTGAATTTGATGTTTGTATGTGCATTGGCTTTTTCTAAAAAAAAACCTTTATTATGAATAGTTTCAAACATAACATAGAAGATATGGGAGAATCTATTCTGTTTATATAAAAGCCTAAGTGACCAGCAACTGGCCAACCAGCTGGTAGCTATAATGCACAATGACCAGCAGGAGGCAGATGCTCAACACACAAGAATGGAAACATGGAATAGACTGATGAATCTCAGAGGGAAGGAAGGAGGGGAGATGGTGGGAAGAGATTAACCAAAGATCTTATATGCATACTAGAGGGGACCCTTGGCCTGGTCTGCGGGGATTGGGCTGAAACTGGCTCTCCGACATCCCCCAAGGATGTGAGCGCACAGGCCAGGCCTTGGGACCCCAACAGTGCACAAATCTGTTCACTGGGCCTCTAGTAGTATAATAAATTCCCATGTATTTCAATCTGGTCTCAATAATTACCAACTCATGGCTAATCTTTTTCTTTTAAAATTCTTGTATTATGTTGAAGCAAATGCAGACATTAAGTTATTTCATCTATTAATATTTCAGTATGAGAGTAACTCTAAGTGTAGTTTTAACTCACCTCTATTTTACATCTCCCATAGTTTTTCTTACTGAAATCATTGACTTCCACTACAGCATACTTATAATGTTATAGCAAACATCAACATTAGCTAAGATTAGTCTTATGTAATTTAGGATTTTAAAATAGCCTTCATAAGAATTTAATTATACTGACTACTTGTAACAAAAAAAAAAAATGTTACTCATTTTTCATGCCTTAAATATACATATATCTATGACCCATACTTTTTTTTGTTGCTAAAGTTATATTAATAAAAAGCCTCAGTTTCCATTTTTACTGAAGATAAGCCTTATTAGAAGCTATAACTCTTTTTACACCACAATATAGATATTATTTTTCTGACCTCAGAAAGTTCTGTCCTAAATTGATTTATTAATGGGGAATTTTTCAAGACATTTGAATAAAACTACTTATGCCTCTTCAGAAACTTAGCAGAATTTTTTTTGAATCCTTGGTTTAGAGAGAATACAAAATTTTACATGTTTTATGTGATTAATATGTGATTACTTTTTAAGGTATCAGTTCAGAAGAAACCAATACTTTTTTTTTTTTTAAGAGATAGGGAAGGAGAGGGATAGAGAGATAGAGTCATCAATGTTGAGAGAGAATCATAGATCAGCTACCACCCACATGCCCCACACTGGGGATTGAGCACATAACCCAGGCATGTGTCCTGACCAGGAATCTAACCATGACCTCCTAGTTCATAGGTCAATGCTCAGCCATTGAGCCATGTTGGACAGGCAAGAAAGCAATACTTTCTTAGGGTCTTATGGGGGGTTGGGGAGGGGGAGGAGGTTGCTAGTGAATATAATAGTTCATAGGAAATTAGGATATCCCATGATTACTACTGCCAGAAAGAGTTCAGAACATAATCAAATGTGATGCTTATATAAAGAAGAATACAAAGAAAAGTTAGTCTCAACTAGAAATAGAATTGTCAGTGTATATGAAAAACAGAGGAGGAAAATAAGTGTGAGCCTTAGTCACAGCTAAGTAAAATCATGTAAGATTTAATAGTTAATAAAGATCTTTGGGTTTGTATAGTCAGGTAATATTATTTTTTTGAATGAGAAAACAAAAGAACAGAGTTTAATCCAGGTTTGTCCAAAGTCACACAAATGTTGTTGTTTTTTAGTTTTCTCAGAAGACATTTAAAAGGTTCTAAAACATTATTAACAATAATAAATAACAATTATTGAGTGCTTACTCTGAACCAGTAAATCTACCAAATATTTTCAAACATTTGTCACTTTTAATCCTCACTTATACTTTGCGAAAAGAACTACTGTATTATTACCCGTTTTATAGAGGTAAGGCAACTGACACTAATCCAGGGAGCCTGAGACATATCGCCCTCCCTCAGTAAGACGCCTTTCACTATCACTCAGACAGACAGAATTATGGGAAGAACAGAGAAAGGATTGCAATGAGCAATCCTAGAAATAAGGCAAGAGTGAAAACTTTTGGCAGGATAGATGGCAAGAAATAATATTTTGACATCCTAAGTAAAAAAAAAAAAAAAAAAAAGTGAAAAGTCTAGTTAAAGAAATTTGTGATGTGATTTGACTCTCGCTTATTCTCTGATTTTCAGGGACTATTGCATCCCTCAGTTCATTTTTGCAGTTAAAAAAATTATTTTGGATTTTTGAATAAACAATGTCTTATGAGAACTATATTACAAAATTCTGAATTTACCAAACTTTTCCATCATCACTGTTTTCATATCCCATTTAAGGACTTTAGATATTTAGTTGCATGTATTATGCAATGCAGTCCCTAAGTATTTTTGTTATTAAAATATCTTTTTAATAAGTTAGTGAAGAAAGCAACAGTCCAAACAAATTGCCTGTGGCTCACGGTTTTTATGCTTGCTGTAGTGGATCTCTATAAGTGCTTGAATTAGACAAAAAAAATTAAATCATAAAAGAAAAAATTATTTTCAAAAATGAGTATGCAAGTTTAGTTCTAAATAGCAATTGCAATCACAGTTTTAGCTTGAGGCTTTTCTGAGGGATTGTGAATAATGATTAGGGGAAATTATAGGCCTGAGGCAAGGCCTTGGGACAGTCACACACATAGCCAGCCAGTTAGCCTCCAAAAACTGGTCTTTGTGTTGTGGAGTATTGTTTTAAATACCAGCCGGAATCAAACCAGAAGCTGTCCCTTTATCCCAAGGACCATTTCAGGAGTCTAAAGTTTAAATGGTAACATAAATGTTTACCAAAACAAAAACTCTTGGTAGGTTTTTCAGGTCCTGTTGTTTTACTTTTACTGCTTTGGTTATGTATATTTATTTGCCTGTAGAAGGAATTATGAATAAAAAATTAAAAATTGTAACACCAAGAAAGTAATATCACTGTTGAAAATTGTGTTCAGCTGTGTAGAGCCTCTATTCAGGGGAAATAGGTAAGATTTTTGTCTTTGAAAAGATAATAGCCTTGCCCTAGTATAGACAGAAGATTTCAGAGGCTAGAGAAACCTGAAAGGAGACTAGTGTGGCTAACGCAGAGAGTTCAGGGGAGGGAGGCATGAGGTGAGACTGGTAAGGCAGGCAGGGCCCTGCAGGCTGAGTTTAGGT